CGGGGGGTGCAGGGCGAGTGAGGAGCAGGGGTCGCAGGGGCAGGGCAGGCGGGGGGCGCAGAGGCTGCAGGGCGAGTGGGGAGCAGGGAAGCACTTAGCAACACCAACCAAGATCAGAGCGGGAGGGAGAAGGGGGAATGCAGGGTGCTCAGAGGAGGGGGCAGAGTTGGGGCAGGGGCTTTGGGGAAGGGGCGGGGCTGGGGCGGAGTTGGGGCGGGGCTGGGGGTGGAAAAGGGGTGGAGTTGGGGCAGGGGCAGGCCCCCGTGGAGTGTCCTCTTTTTTCAGTGTTGAAATATGGTAACCCTAGCATATCCATATCTCTTTTAATATATATCCAGGCCATGTGACTCCCATATACAAAGGGTAAATTTACAGGCCTAACTATACTGGTATAATTATAACACTATACGACCCTGTGAGGTGAGGGTCCCAGAGCCCGAACATTTATACAGCAACTAAACAGTCCCTTAGCCTGAGCCAGCTGTCACGGCCAGCCGCAGATGTCTAATTGCAGTAAGACATACCCTAAGGGCTCTTTCACACAGCTACAGAAGCAGCATAAAAGGACTGTAGGAATGGAGGCCTCCCTATGTGTACAATAGTACCTTCAGTAAATAGGCATTATATCATATCTCAGCCATAACATACTTTTAAGTATGCAGAAGACTAGGAGATTATTAATTAAAGATATTAATTAAAATATATCCTATTATATTTTGCACAGAAGCAGAAATTTATTTGGGAGAAATTTATTTCCAAATGTAATCCTCAGTTTCAACACATACCTCCTCAATGAAGAGAACTAGGGTGACCAGATGTCTGGATTTTATAGGGACAGTCGCGATTTTTGGGTCTTTTCTTTTCTTATATAGGCTCCTATTACCTCCCATTCCCATCCTGATTTTTCACATTTGCTGTCTGGTCATCCTAAAGAGAACTCAAACTTCAGAAATATTTTTATTGCACTTGCAAAGAAAGGTTTTTATAGTTGTGGATAATTAATTAATAATGAGCAACTGATGTCAGGGCAAAGAACACCCTCTAACTGTGTGTAATAAATTTAAAAAACTGTTCCTTCATATGTAGCAAACTCCAAATAAATTAAGATTGAACTCCCCATTGCCCTTCTAAATTAATAGCAGCAAATAGTGTATTCCTTGTTTGTAAGTATTTATAATAGTGACAATTAAGAATCTTAAGCTATCACCTAAATATATGTGTTCAGCATCTTTCAGGTTGGTATGGCTCAATTGCATATGTTTTACTATACTTGAGGTTTATGATCTAAGCCAAACAGCAGAGAATCTACTTTAAAAAGAAAAGTATAAAGGTGTGGAGAGGAATTGGGTAGCACTGTGTGTCAGAGATTATGTTCTGGCAACATTAAAGAAGATAAAGAGAGAGTGAATTCAGCTAGAAAAGACTGAGAAAGTTGATAGTCTTTAAAATATTAATAATACTCAGCTCTTCTATAACACCTTTCATCCATAGATTTCAAAGTGTTGTACAAAAGAAGTAAGCATCATTTATGTCCACTTTACAGGCCTGGGTCAAAGGTCACTGGGCATAGAACTGAGGTGTATATGTCAAAATGGACAAATCCTGCAGAAAGGCAAAGACATTGCTAGAAAGTCAAACAACTTTGCAGGAAAAATTACAAGGGATACAATAGTATACATATGCCTGTTATCATAATCTGAGAACAATATATCTGAAGAAGGCACAATAACATCAGGAAGGAGAAGTAACCACCACTTCAGGATCACAGAAGGAATATTACACAGACCATTAGATATAATAAATCAACAGGAATAAACAGGATTCATTCTAGCATACTAAGGGAATTAAGTAAGAAACTGACATAGCTCTTATCAAGTTACTTTGAAATGTTGATTATCATTAGGAGGGTACTTGAAGACAGATGTTATGCTTGTTCTTGAATAAATTAATAGACGGGAAACTGGAAAAACTAGACTAAATAGACTGAATTCAATTTTAGAAAATATTTTAGAGTCATTAATAAGGGCTGAGCTGGTGAGTTTCTTATCAGAGAGTGGTCAGCACATGGATTTACAGGTTGAAAGTAAAACCTGTTTCAGACTAATCTGATAGACATTTTTCAAAGGAGGGACAGAAAAAAATCAGATTTATTTGTGTTGCAGCAAGACATTTGCAAAAGGATATTTGAACAAAAAAAATCAAGCACAATATGCTAAGTAAATGCTGGATAGGAAACATGCTCATGAAAATTGAACAGTGAATATTCAGTCCACGTATTCATAAATTATCTGGAAAAGGGGGTGAACAGTGTAGTGACAAATTTGCAGTTGATACAAAACTACGCAAGACAGTTAAGTGCAAAGCAGACTCTGAAGAGTTACAAAGGGATCTCACTCAACTGGGTGACTGGACAACAAAATGGTAGATGAAAGTAATGTACACTGGAAAAAATAATTCCAATTTATTTATACCAAATGATGGGGTCTAAATTAGCTGTTTCTACTCAGGAAAGAGATTTTGAAGTCATTGTGGATAGTTCTTTGATCTGCTCAATGTACAGCGGCAGTCAAAAAAGCTAACAGAATGTTAGAAACAATTAGGAAAGGGATAGATAATAAAGCAGAAAATATCATAATCCCAATATATAAATCCATATATAAATCCCCACCTTGAATACTACGTGCAGTTCTGGTTGCCCCATCTGAAAAAAGTTATATTAGAATTGGAAAAGGTACAGAGAAGGCAATAAAAATTATCAGGGGTATGGAACAGCTTCCATACAATGAGAGATTAAGAAGAGTGGGTTTGTTCATCTTAGAAAAAAAGACTACTAGGGAGGAATATGATAGAGGTCTATAAAATCATGGTGTGTAGAATGTGAATAGGGAAGTGTTATTTATCATAACACAAGAACTAGGGGTCACCAGATGAGATTAATAGGCAGCAGGTTTAAAAGGAAGTGCTTCTTCACACAACACATAGTCTGCCCATGAAACTCAGTGCCAGGGGATGTTGTGAAGGTCAAAAGTATAACTGGGTTCAAGAAAGAATTAGATAAGTTTATAGAGAATTGGTCCATCAAAGGCTAATAGCCAAGATAATCGGGGATGCAACTCTATTGCTCTAGGTGTCCTTAAATTTCCAACTGCTAGAAACTGGGACTGGACAATGGGATGGATCACTTGAGATTGCCCTGTTCTCATCATTCCCCCTGAAGCATCTGGCAGTGGCTACTGTCAGGAGACAGGATACCGAGCTTGATGGACCACTGGTCTGACCCAGTATGGCCACTCTTGTGTTCAGGGAAGGTTTGCGAACTGAACAAATAACCTCAGCCCACATTCACCCAATTTCCATAAGTATGAGCTGAAGTTCCAAGGATCTAATAACACTGGTCTACAATTTTTGAGAAGTCGTCTGCTTCAGAGATAAAATGTGCTATTTATTATGTATTTTGATGTGCTGAATTCAAATATGACAATTAAAACAACTGATTGCCTACTGTTTCTAAGATATTTAAGTTTTAACATTTTATGTCTATGTATATTGTGTAGATAATAGAGTTTTAATCATAAATTGTAAACCTAGGTCTTTTCATGTGTTTATGGTTGCTTTACATGAGAATATTTCACCTGTCCTGTTTATGTAACACTTTAAAAATCAGCAAAAGGGTTATATAAATAAAATTTATTATGAAACAAAAGGCAAAAAACTATTATG